AGCAGAAACAGTAGCAAAATTATCATTTAAATGTTATTTGTCCTAAATGCATTTAGACTAACAGTTAGGACACTTACGATTGCATTTTCATCATGAGGCCGTGGGATATTTGTAGCATAATTCAATGCGGCTTTGAAAATGCATTCCGAGCTGACAATTGTATTGCCATTTTGCAATTTTGCAAAATTGAATTTTGCTACACATATGCTTCCATAGTAACAAAACGAAACTTTCTAACGTGTATCATGCATTTAAAAACAAATGTTACTATTTAAAACGGATGTTTATATATATAACGCAACATTATAAAGAAATAAATGTATTTTCGAAATATATGACGATTACGCAGGATTCAAGTGACATCTGCCTTGTCAAAACGCCTAGCAGGTGAATTAATTAGGCTAAACGACTGATTGCTTAAAAATATTCTTTTAATTAAAATAGTAAAAATTCAAAATGTTCAAATGAAGTAGACCCTATGTCCTCGCAGTCCTAAGCAGCAGTGAATGTACTTGCGCTCCTGAGAGAGTGGGACAGACAGAGACGACCAGAATAGTCCGCCCTCATCTTGATAAGCTTCAACTGAGCGACACTGAATGCACTGTATGATTCCAGGTGGATCATTCCGATTAGTACATACACTACATACATTAGATTGAGGGCAGGGCCAGTCAATCCTATAGGTGATATAGGCAGCTGCCAAAGACGCCAACTTCTGAGGGAGCGCCAGCCAGTTTCAGTTTGCCTCGGACAGGGTTGCGCCGGCGGTGAGGCTCGCATAGGGAGCCACATCAGCTATAACCGGCACTGCTCAGGGGTCCCCAATAAACTACATGACCAGGACACTCGCCTAATTAGTAACCGTTCTACTCTTAATCTAGGTTTTTATTAACAGTGACTAGAAATTGGTTTGGAATAATACATGGCAGACTATGAGGTAGCCTATAAGCTTGTTTGGACTATACAGTTGACATTATTATTTTTATCAGCAATGCGTTGTAAACTTTCAGTTAATAATTCTAACATTTACATCACATTTATTGGTTAGATATAATTGCTTGTTCACCGAATTGTTCTGAATAAAGAGAGGAAAAGCAGAAGTATGTGGGTTTGTCCATAAACACAATATGGGTCTTTACCGTAAAATATCAATTTCCTCTAATTTTTAAAATTTGTTTGACGACAGACTCACGTTATTGTCTATATGTTGATTTTGCCTCAGTTGCAGTTGTGGGATGTGGAGTAAAACAATTGACAACACAGTACAATTGAAGAAATACAGATACATCTTACCATGGGCGTAATTATGCGCCAATAAACAAAACCAGCCAATACAATACCCTGGACCCCTTTAAATTAAATGAGTGGAGACCTGGCTCAACATTGTGATGTCTTTAGACATTAGCAAACCCAGTCCTAATTGACTGTACACGTGATAGAATCAGATTGATAACTACAGATTAATCTCACGTATCAAAAATCTCATCCTCTTTTGTCCTATGCACAGATTCTGCACAGCATCTTCTTCATTGGCTACATTAGCTCCCCACGTGTTAACCCAGAGATGGTTCTACGGGAAGACCTTCACTCAGTTTTAACTCGAAAGTTCCCCAATGTGTTTCATGCGTACCGAACTGCACTGCCCACAAGAACACCATACTCTCTTCTTTTGGATGTGGTATATTAACGTAATTTACCTCAATATTAAATTCTGTGTTAATCTTTCTCTGGATATACTGGGTTCTATATGAAACTGTGCCCGAGCAGTACTATCATGTTTCATTGTTGATACTGGTAACTAAAGTATTATATTATGTGAAGTTTAATTGCTAAATAAGCTACAGTAATATAGACAAGGCCAGGCTAAAGTTACTACTAATTCCCACTGCTGACCATATTTCACTCTGCATATCCTCTTCATCTTAAGTTAAATACAGAATACAACCAGGATATAAGCTGTACCTGTGGCATATAAATATTTAGTTTGGCAGGTGGAGGAAAGATTTTTTTTTCTCATTAACACAAATATCAAGTGTAGATTGAATATCATTTTGATTGTAAAATTTAAAAATAGAAACTAGAAACAGTTCTGTTTATATGATTTATGGTTTCATTTGTATCTGTACAAGGTTGTGGAAACCACGGAACCATCCAGATCCACAGAGCACGCCTTTGAGTATGCTGTTCTTGACAAGATACTAGACTTGAACAAAAAAATGTACGTGCCTCGACTCCAGGATGATGGAAAGGTGTGTGGAAATGCTTTTTTATTAGTGTCAACTGTTATCAGCTACTGCTACTTTTTAGATTCAGTTACACACCAGGAAACCAAGAAGTACTTTGGAACATCGCTGGGCTGCAGAGGGCAAAAACTGAAGGAGATTTTCCTTGATCTGTCCTGCCTTCATACGTGGAACAGAAAAGTGGCGTATGCTGTGTGCTTGGCTGCTAACAAAGGCCCATCTGTGCTACTCCCTATGTTTCTGCACTCTGCCGCATTTCACATGCTTGGGTGCAAAGATAATAGAGGCCCAGAAGATCTTTCATCCGAGTTTGAACAGCTGACCCTAGACCAGCCATCGCAGAACTCCTGTGAACACGGCAGCAGTACAGAAGGAGCAGGTGCTAATGCACCTCAGACGCTGGAAAGAGAGACGAACTCGCCACAGCTCGCCAATCCGAGCTCAAATACAGAATTGATCGTATTTCAGTACAACCCAAAACCGCCGTGTTTGAGATGCATGGAGCTCTTCCCAGACATGCAGTTTTCACCAAGACCCATCTCTCAAGACCCTCCTTCTTGGGAGCATGGAAACTGCGCAGAATGTGAGTCACTCAGCAAGCTGCTAAACGCTGAGACTGGGCTTAATATGAGAGTGCAGCTCCCTACAAAAGTCGATGTATGGCTGCCAGCGAGTCTCCGTTTCATTCCATCTCAATCTCCCGATGAGATTTTGCTCTTGTCCAGAAAGCAACGACTAATCAACAATTTGCGTGATGCCGGGTTTGAACTCCAGGACTATCTTTCGTTTTACAATTCTCAGCTTGATGAGGAGAGCACTGCACTTGTGCCTTTTCAGTTGTGAAATGAAGTAAATCATGCAGGCCCTTAATCGCTGTGTTTCATACACAGAAAAACAAAGACTTTATATGGCATATTCACGTAGCTGGACATTTACTGAATTACTTTGTCTTACTTTGGAAATATGGTATGAGTGATGTCACTCATGTGTAAGCCAACCTATGATATATTCTAGGGCAGTGCTAGGGAGCTGAGTGGGAGTGAAAATGTGGGTCCCCAAGGGCCGGGTTGGGAAACACTGTTCTAGGGCTCTGGCAAACATAAGGGCCCCACACTTGTTTGAGAAATATGGAACAGTTAAACTTATTAAATCTTGATGCAGTGGCGCCCCCATCACCCCCCCACCCCCGATTACATTGCTTTTTATTCTCTCTTCTCTTTTGGTTCAAAACAGTGGTCAGCTTGGGAGAAGGCCACTTAGCCTGTACTTCAGATCATTTACATTTCAGAGCCTTGGGTTGCACCAACAGTGTGTATGTACTTTCACTTCCAAAGCCTGCAAGCATCCTTGGACATGGCTCATAAAATTGACAACAAAGGATCAAATCTGTTCCCTGGACTGGCACCAGATATGTCAGCCTAGATTAACTCCTAGCTGTTTTGGTGAAGTGTGTTGTGTGAGGGGAGAGAGCTCTGCAGAGTCCCCTCACATCACATCATTAGAGGCAACAAACAAACAGCAGAGGTAAAAAGAGGTGCAGAGATGGAGTTCACAGCAGCAAGGGAACACACAAAAATAAGGAATGTCAACTGAGCACCCTCCTTTAAGCTTGGTTGAACTAAAGTGTCCCAAAGTGAAAAGTTATGTTGAATGTAAGTACATTGACATGAAATATGGCACATCAAACCTCCATAAGTCACACTCCTACTATTGGCAGATTCAGGGGCAACTTATGCTTGTTGGGTTAGAGTGGTGTGACTTCATGGTATAGGTTCATTATCGTCTGGATTATCTTCTGCAGCGTATTCATGCTGATCCTGAAGTTCAGCAAGTAATTAAAGAGAGAGTGGATTTGTTCTACTTTAATGTGTACATGCCAAAGTACTTGCCTGTGAGGAGAGAACAATAGCTGCAGTTTAAAAAAAAACAGCATTCGCAACAAAAACACTGCAATAACTATGCCATGCATGACTGTGGTATGTTGACTTTATATTATACATTTACAGTGCTGACTATTGCACTAAATATTTGTACATGTCTTATATTTCTGCAACTTAAATTATTTGCATTGTTACTGTTAATATATACCTTGATGATTATCCACTAATGAGATATACTGATGCTTATTGTCTATAATTAAAGTTTGAATCTGAAACAAAGTATATGTTGTACCTTGAACTCACAGCCTAGTGGGAGTGTAGGTTCTAGTGTTTGGTCAACAAAATCTAAATGAGGAACTACGACACCTTCAAATACACGGGTGGTCTTTATGGCACCAAAAGAGTTTTGTCTCACTGGGTAGCAATATGCACCCTTTCCCCCTCCTATTAAAATCCAAGGGCAGCCATTATAAGCATCTCAATTTGTAAAAACACTACAGTTTTTATTGCCTTGATGTAAGTTGTAATGCTGTAATAATAAAAAAAAATTACAGACCAATGATATTTAGAATCTTTACTTGATCATACATTTTGGTATAAAATTTTGACAAAACAACAGATCACCACAGACCAGGGTTTCTCAACACAATCCTCTGGAATTAGGATTGTTCCACAAAGCAGGACTTCAGCTACAGGCTATGATTGCCCGACAGGATTGCTCCTTACCTAAACTCATATTGGACAAGCATGACTTTAGCTTTAGTTCATCCAGATAACAGAAATCCCACTTCCTCAAACAACCCCCCGAAGTTCAGTGACACCTCAGGTGTACTGGGAGCTCTGCATTAGCGCAGCCATTTTCTCTAGGCTTACAGTATGTAGGGATAAATTACACCATTTTGTATGGAGGAAAATGATTACACTGCTCACATCGGTTCCTCATAAACTGGAAAGAGAACTTCTTTATTGGTGCAGGTGCATGTTTTTACAAACAGGCACGTAGTGCGCATGACGTATGACATCACATACATTAACACTATGACAGAAAAAAATGCAGACCGTCTACAGTGCATACGAATATGTAAGCACATAGAAATAGCAGGTTAAACAGCAAACTCAGCATTTCTTAACAAGGGCTTTGTTTTTATAATTCATCAGCAAGCAAGCTACACTAAAAAGCTGATTAATACTGCCTGCACTGGATAGAAGGATAAAGCTGCCAGACCGGTTGTTTTCTTTACCGTGTCGTATAGTCTGCTCTACATGCAGTTGAACTATTGCCAGTGTCTCTGGTGCCTCTGGATGGCATATGTGTTTGTCTTGACTGGAATGGTGGGCAGTGAACTTTGCATTTGACACGATCAGCAGTGAGAAAGCCCATATCAACCATTACAGCCATGTCTTCAGTTAAGTGGTCATTCAGACCTGACTGCTTGAGTAGCTCTTTGTCACTGATTGAGCAAAGAGTGAGGAGATGTATGTTATAGCTCCATATGGGGCCATTCTAATCAGAGCTTGGTGCAGTGGGACTTATAGGTGGAATACATCTCACTTTGGAGAAGTAGAGAAGATGGTTTCTGACACCTCAGTTCAACACAATCCAGGATTACCTGAGTGTCTGGAAAGTCCTTGAGCTTGGCAGGAAAAGCAGTAAAATGTGGCTAGACCACAGCAAAAGCAATCAAAAATAGCTAAAAATTTAATTTCCTTTGATTACACAAGCAACAAAAAGAGCATCTCCTCGTCCTTGTGCAGGTCCAGGCAAGAAGTCCATTAGATATGCATAACTTGGAAATCGATCAATGAAAAACAATGCAGGGTGAAATTAAAGACATGCCATGTTTGCTATTGTGTTAAAAACAAGAATAACACAGATTACATGTATTCACTAGTCATAATATCCTTACCTGATGTGGAACCTGATGTCATCATCAGAACCGGCGAAGCATTGTAAACCAAATGAACATTGAACTTGCAGCTCTTCAACTTCCACCTTTAGCTTTTCCAGTTCTTTGTGAAGATCTTCATTCTCATGAAGTGACATGTCCAACGATGCTGGTTCAGAAACTGCGCGACAGTAATCATGATCCTGATCGAAGTCCACGGGCTGATTGTCCTCCGTCTCACTTGTAGCAGGTCTCTCCCACACCCTGGGCCTCTGCCGGATGCTGTACCTATTGCAAAACATGCATTCAAAACAGCACAGGTACAACTCGTTTTGTCACTCGCCTCCTTCCATTTTCTTTGGTGAGTTTGGCTGGTTGATCTGGAGTACACTGCCTGCTACAAATCCTTTTTTTTTTTTAGTTTCTGTTATGTGGAACTTGTCATGGTGGATTTTTTATGAACAATCGCTTTCTTAGCTCGATCCGCATCGGTGGGGAAGCAGTGAAAGCTCAAAATCCCATTAAATTTTGAGGATGCTGAGCAATGAGGGACGCGGTAGTGATCCAATCCCCTTTTCTGTTGTTTTTGGTAGATTACACTTTTAAAAACTTTTGGATGTTACTGTTTTAAATTCATTTTAAATTCCCCGCATAGCCACCAACACCGTTGATCACGTTCACGACCGTAAATGCTGAAGCAGCGATATTTTTAAACAGAAGTACGTATGTGCAAGAAGCCTATTGTACTGGTCTGGGTTGGGGGCTTTCATCGAGCCCAAAATCTCTAGCAGCATCCGTGCCCTGGTGCCCTGTGATGCACTGGATTATGTTTCAATACACCTCAACAATTTTTCTGTTAAGTTTTCAAGTCTACTAAGAAATGAGTTGCAAAAAGGTTAAATAGAACAATAGAGATAATGCAGCTAACGCTGCTTGGACCCCTAATAAATCCAATAATGAAACTTTCAACCATAAAAACGAACGGATTTGATTCACGAAAGTTTCACCACGCCTACAATTTTCGTTCAGTTTCGATTCACAATTCACGGACTTGTCTGACGAACACGGAACACGACAAACGGGAAATCTTTTAAGGTAAAATATATTTTCAAAAACATAAAGCAATAGTCTTAGGCAGTTAAAGAAATTTGTGTTTAAATGATCTTCATGTTTGTGTAAAACTTATAAGATGCGTGTCAAAGTGTGTTAGTTTAGCCAGTTCAAAACCTAAAAGTAACCCCATTATTTGCAGTAACAATTAAATATATAGGTGTATTTGTTGACTCGACCACTAGCAATCAATACCCCATTTATTTATCAAAGTAATATATTCACGTTAATTAACGAATTGAGCTGGTGGTGAAGTGTAACAAATACATGGAATGGCTGAGGGGCCCCTGAGGAGGGGTTTGGGAACTGAAGCGGTGTTCATCTAGCCATCCAGCGAGATATCAGTAACTTTCTAGAGAACACAAGAAATTCTTTTTTTGTGTGCGTTTTATTGTTCATTTGAATACATTTAAATATTTGTTTTTTACTGATCAAATATACATTCACTCCCCAGATAAACATCTATAATCATTTTCTTTGACTGCCTAAGACTTCTGCTCAGTACTGTAATTCAAAAATCTTTTGTATGTTAAACTGTCTGAGCAAAACCAGAGAATAAGAATGTATTAACATGCAAATAAACCGAAGTGGTTTATGCGTGTAATTCCCTTGATCATATTCCAGATATTACGGTAAGTTAATATACCCCAAACTCATATTCGACGATTCTTTTAATTGTATCAATGTAGCCATTTATCTGGCGTTTTACCTCGACCAGACCAATTGTTTGTGAATTGTATGTACAGTAATATATGGGCTATTCTCCATTTGGAGTCGGAAACTGTCACGTTCGCGGAGCAGGTGAGCAGGCAAGCAGGCGAGTTGAGCCGGACCGACAGGTTAACGGGTTTATTGGCAACACAAGGGCAGACAGCCACGAACTTAGCAACACTACACAATGACTGATCTGGGAAATAGTGGGAGACGCGGACTAATATACACAGGACAAGTCAAAAGGAACAGGAAATAGGTGATGACACTCACGGATCAACACGATGTAACGAGGTGGGCGTGGCACACACGAGGATCAGACGGAGCTGGGCGTGACAGAAACCATGTCACAGGGGTTGCAGGTTTTAAAACATACTTAAAAGATTAGTCGCAGCTGCAGGATAAAGCATATAAATTCACACGGTTGATGTTTGATTAAATAATATATTTATATGTAATATTTTTATATTTAGCTATCTGTCACTTTACTTATTTTTATATATTTCTGTTTTTATGCTTTCTTGGGTCACAGAAGAAGCATCTCACGGAAAGGGAAGGTCCATACATGCCCATTATATTTAACTGCTAAATTTGATAATTTTGTTTCTCATTCAGCACATAGCTGATATGCTGTGAGGGCTGGGTGATTAAATTCTTGTCTAAGTAATTCAACATGCCTTTCCTATCACTGACTTGAAATAGCTGCACGATAGTTCTTACATATTAATCTGAATGTCACTGGTGTTACACCATATCCATGACACCAGTAATTAATGCTAATTTCATGAATGATCAGAACAATTAAAAAGCTAATTAATTAGATCTTTGTTCATATTTTGTCTGTTAATATTGCAATTTTGTAAAATAAAACTTAATAAAGCTTAAAAATCTGCCTTGTGACTGTGACCACAGAGTTCGTTGGAGCTTGTCTGAGACCTCGGCCTATTGTCCTCATTATGTAATATAACATTTTCAGTTCACAGGGAATGGATCAGTTTGTGTCAGGGTCAGCCGCCCGGAAATACAAGTTGGCGCGGGATTACTGCAAAAAAGAGCAGATCCTGATAAAGAGCAGTGCAATGTTTATCGGAGAATCCCTGAAATTCATTCAATCAATGGTGAGAAAAGAAAAGCTCAGCCAAGAGAGGGGACATCGCTACATGAAAGAGGTGAGTCACCTCCTGATACTGTAATTTTAGCAATTTACCACAGAACCCTTTGATTGTTAAAATGATTTATTAATACCAGAACCCTTATCTTAAGCTAAAGCTGTTCAGTGATTAAGCTGTTATATATCTAATTTGCACATGCTTCTATTGTGATGATACTGATTTTGTGCTTTAACTGAATTATGCCACTGAATCTAAACTTAAGCAAATGATTCTTATTAAATAATTCAGTTTCTTACCTTGTGAGTGAGTGGAGATAATATCATGTAGATGGATTAAAGTTTAAAGTATCAGGATGTTCTGTTGTCTGCCAGACGTAATGATCGTCTTCTGTTTTCCTGCCAGATTCTACACTGCATCTTCTTCCATTGCCACATTTACAGACCTCCAATACATGACAAACAAAGCATTTATCCAAAAGAAATTCAAAGCAAACTGCTCATTCATCCAGTAAATGTTCTACGTGAAGACCTTCACTCAAAACTGTCTAAAAAGTTTCCAGATGTGTTCCAATCGTACACGTCCCAGTTGCCCCGTAGATCTCCTTTCTCAATACTGTTGGAAGTGGTAAGAGATCCGGAATAATCTCTGACATACTTGTATACAGACTTTGACATGTTAACAGTTCTTAAGAACATAATAAACTGAACTGCTGTTTTTAGTCAGCATGATGTCCTTTAAGGAATAATGGTGTAATAATATTTTTTTATGAAACAGAACTTTTAATTTCTCACCAACTCAAACTGCTTTTTAGCTTTTGTTCTCTATATATGTAAAGGAATGACATATTATTGAATTACATATTAAGAGTGCTCACTGGCCACATTTAGTATGTGGATGTATTATACTGATAACTGGCAAGTTTAACATCTCAGTCAAAATCTGTTTTAAAACCAGTGAAATTGATTTTCTATACTTTGGGATAATAATAATAATAATAATAATAATCTATAGGTAAGTGAGAAATGTATCACGAAAAGTATGTTTTATAAAACCCTTTCATATCTTCCCAAGGTTGTTGAAACAACGGCGGAACGAAGTGAAACTGCCATTCTGCGAGAGCTGGCGCGACTCAATGATCAAATGATCATTAAAATAAGTGACCGTAAATCCTCTGCAAATGACTTTTGTTTTGCGGCGGCTGTCGTGAGCTGCTCCGGTTTTGAGAGAAGTGATCTGGTAACCCAGGAATACTTTGGCGCTTCCATGAGTTGCAAAGGGCCGATAACAACAATGATTTTCATTTCTGTGGCTTGCATTGAGACCTGGAATGACAACGTGGCCCATGGTGTGTGTTTGGCTGCCAATGGTCATAGGTCAATCACGCTGCCAGATACAGTGTGGTCTAGAGCTCATCGTCTGCGCTCTCCACGGGAGGGAGGGAATAACAGTCATACATACAAAGCCCGGTCACCATGTCTTTGGTGCAAAAACACATTTCCAAATGTTACATTTTCACCAATAGACACAGCCCAAAATGAGCCAACATGGCAATGTGGCAATTGTGCTGAATGTGAGGCCATCAGTAATCTTCTGAATGGAGAGACCAGTGTTAGTGAGGAAACACAGCAGCTGAATACCGGCTTAGAGCCTAGTCTAATGACATTGCGTGAAGAACGAGAACGTAAACTGACTGAGCATCTGGAAGAACTCAACTTTAACTTAAACCCAGCGACCAGATTTTATAATCCATAATAGCACAACAGTGCTACACTGTAACTCCCCAATCTCTTAGTAAGTCACTGATGGATTTTAAACTATTAATAATCGTCATTTTGATTTCAAGTGCTGTTTTGGGTTGTTTTTTTTTTTCTATAGACCAACTACGTACATAAAAAAAATCAAACAATACAATGCAGATACCTGCAGATGGTGTATGCCTTCTAGTGTTCTTAAAATGTAAAATCAAATATCAATTTATGTATAAGCATACTGTTGTGTTACTTGGTGATATTTGTATTTGCATTCATCTGTCTTTTGCTAATGATTAAGAATTAATGTATATTTGTGATATTGTTTTATATTTGAGGAAATTTATGGATAATTATCCAAACCTTGTTTGATATGTGTAATGTGGCTGAGTATGTAGCATTAAGCGACTGTTACACTGTTAAGGGTTTATTTGACATTGAGATAATTTGCGTATTTACAGTTTCACAAGAAAGTGCTAGGAACAATGTAAGAAAGCTTTGATGAAGACTAACAAGTAAAACAGCCCTCAACTTTGCTTCAACGTCTGAGTCATCATTTAATCCTTACAGTGGCCAGCACAACTGTTTAGCTATCTGTCACTTAATGCAAGCTACGCAAGCAGGAGACAGATTACATACAAAACATGTTTAATACTGTAATCTGTTTGAGAACATTTAGGTGTTTTTATCAGTTTAATGATGTTTCTGTGTTTGACACTATAAGGAGTTTCATCCCTGGTGATCTTTCTATGGGAAAAAAATATCAAAAGACAGTGTTTTTCAGATGTGACATTGTCCCATAAAGCATTAACCTTGCACTCAACAAAATGGATTTTTCCCATTGAACAATAAACCAAAGGAACTCTGGCTGGACACTCCAGCTGGGGTTTTAATGAGGAACATCATGGTTCGGTTGTCTGATATTAATGTGGTCCAAGTAGCCAGTGACAAATTGAACTTTACTTTGCTGCTATGGATACAGTGTGACATAATCAGTACAGTCTTTACTTGGTGTCGAAGAAAAGGAAAGCACCTTTTTTTGTTGTGCGTGAAAACAATCGTTTCTGTTCATGTAAACTCATAAAACGTATGTAACGTATCATACGACATTGTATTTTGCTAAAATACAGATATACAACATACAAACAAATACAATAGGTTGCGGATCTGAAAACCATTTGTTACTTAATACTTAGGCTATTCCATGCATGTTAATATCAATTCAAAAGTTAAAAAAAACAGACATGAACGTGGCAATATAACAATTGTTATATTATAATTGTGTGTCAGATGTACAGTAACACTGTTATTCTTTTCCCAAAAAAAAAAATAAAAAATTGTTGCTCAATCTTTTTAAAATGTCTGGGTCTCATTTTAATCTATGGCTAAAATAGTGTTACACCACGTAGCACAGATGACACTAGTCTCCAAACTACTAAAAAACATGCTTGCTGCTGGGGTCAGTGCAAATGTAATAACAAAGGGGGTGTCGGGATATATTTTTCATGTACTTGATGGGAGCCACAGAAATGCAAAATTAAGGGGGATGCCTTTTTTGGCACCCTGCTGCCAGAAAAGGCATCCTCTGTTAAAACCAGAAACCAAAACTACAAACACAGAGGGCAACAAAAGGTCACAAAACCCACAACAGGTGAGGCTTGGATTTGCCAGCCTCGAACCCATAGCCTGTGGCTCACAGACACTCAGCCCACTGAACAACGTGGCCGTCCGGAAGCAGGCAGAAACACGTGAGGGTAAAGGATACAATTACAGAGAGGAAAAAGCAGAATGGCCAGCAGTACCAGCAGACGAGGAAGAGGGCGGGGTCAGAATCAATTCAATTATAAAAAGTATTATGCACATGTTGTTATAATGTCACATATTGTTATAATGGTAACTCTTTTTAAAATAAATCACTACCCATGTTTAACTTTGGACTGATGTCACGTCATCATTAAGGGAATCCGTTTTGCATCAGAGGTGGTCAGAAAGAGCATTAGTGTGACCCTGGGGATCAACATCTAACCCCAGATGAGCCAATCCAAGCTAAGGTGGCAATGCAGGTGTCATGCAGGGTTCCAACCCGCTACTGAGAAGCTGAGCCGATTCAGCTGGCACAATGAATGCACCTAATAGCTAACAAAAACAAGCAAATTACAATAAAAGTAGGCAAATATTGCTGTATGTATTTTAAGCTTATGTTGATATGCAATTATAATTTGAAATTGATTATAAGAATAATTTGAAAGGAAATCAATCATTACAATGTGACTGAGCCTGAAACAACTATATCTCTATATCTGTCTAAGGCTGAAATTTGGAAATCTCACATTTTTGAATATGCTTTAAATCTTTGTGGGAGCTTAATAAGAAGGTGGATTTCACTTGGTAGGATCATAACAACATCAGTGTTTGTGGTTGGCAAGAATAAATTGGCAGTGAGTGCAGCTCAACCACACAGGGACCACAATGGGCAAGGTGCACCAGAACCTAACCTCCAATGCATTGGCACTCAGAAGTAAAGAACATTACATCAGATTCATCTGCAAATACTGACATTTTGCAGGTGGTGTAAATACCAAGCTGCAGCTACATTACATGTATGTTACATTTTACATCTATATAATGTGCAGTTCACAAGCTTTTTATATATAAATTACTGCTGTTAGCAGGTTAAAATAAAATCATATATTTTGGACAGAATCCTTGATTTAAATGTAATTCTAAATCACAGCAATTTTGCTTCATGATTTATCCTGGATCTGATACATTAACTGCTTTCTTCAGTTTAGACCTGGTGCAACAGGTAAGTTCCTTTCTTTGGATATGATGCAGGATCTCATTCCTCCTGTTTGATTCACATAGTTCCACTATTTGTGTAGATTGTTCATAAATGTCATTGTTATTTTTCCCCTCAGACAAATAGACCATCTGGTGGTCAGACCTAAACGACTTCAGATGAGTCTTATCTACAACTCTTGCTTAAAATATGTCCGCATATGTTCCTTACTGACTATGAGTATTTATTAAAGTCAAGCACAGTATCTTCCCACAGTAGAGTACAACAGTAATATCACTCTGTAGGTGCTAGGCCAGAACATATTGTCACAACATAAATTGCATTAAATATTGTAAATAAAACTCATCTGGTGCCATTTCGGTCTGACCATCTGATGTTCTATTTTGTCTTGGAGAAAAAATGAAAATACCATTTATCTGCACCAATAGTTATACGAGGTCCCTGTTTATATAACAGTACTACAGTACACCAGGGGCCTGAGGTTAAGCACCTTGCTGAAGGGTCCTGCAGCAGGATCCTTCCCGGGATTTGAGCTAACAGCCTTCTGGTTAGAAACACTTAGTGGCCCCTCCCTCACCACCCCAATGTATGAGATGTGTCTTTTTCTCTGAGGAATATCTCCGTTTGTTCCCAGGTGTTTTTTTACAGAAAGTGCTGAAGAGGAAGGGGGTGCTGGAGTTCAACATCATCCGGAACATGCTGGAGCTCGTTCACGGCCAGGCACTTGTCTGGTAACCAGGACTCCTTCACCGGAGCCTCACGACCCTTTTACAAAAATGACAAGCAATCTGTCCAGGCTAGTGAGACCAGTGATGGTCTTGTAGATAGACTGGTGTTTAGGTTCTTAATGACTAAAAGTAAGAATATTACTTTCGACAGGCTGGGGGTCCTATTTCTGCTGTTCTGGACACCACAATACCTCACGCGGCATCTTTTGATTAGTTTTATAGCCTCAGAGCACATTTTAAGTTAATTTCATAGTCATTGTTACAGATACAGCTCTGGTGCACTAGATTTTGTATTCTCCTTATACGACCATTCGGTAATAGTTTATATTGTTTATAAATAATCATTAATAATAATGGGTAATGCAATAGCAGGAACTTGCTCAATGGTATCTGTTGTGATGTGTTACATCTGATCAGGAGCTGATTCAGAAAAAGAAAAGAAAAGAAAGGAAAATGGATATGTAGTCAGAATAGTGCCATATATACTTGTATGTGTACTTTCCAATTTGCACCCGTAAAATGAAATTTGCTCGCACTGAACACAATTTTCATTCGCAAAATACTGAACAGAAATACGCGTCACGTGATCTGTACTTGTATATGAAGATTTGTGAATGAACGTGAAAAACATTTTGCAAATACTGACTCCATAAATGGAGCTCAGCATAGTTCATAGCACAATGTATCTGGAATCTCGGAAAAAGGGTAAAGAATTGTGCCTTTGCTGGTCACTGGGGCTGTACCATTGTAATTGTACCTTTTAAGGTATAGCAGTAGACTTTGATGCTGCTCTTTGATGATTTAGCTCGGCGGGTCGCCAGTTGGTGATGCTGTTATGACCAGGAAAAGCAGCTAGAATGACCATTATAAATTGGTATGACCAGCTAAACCATCAAAGGAAAGATGGTCAACTATCATAAATTGTTCAACCAGCTTAACCATATCTTATTGTAGTCAAGTTGTTTTTTTCAGCAGAGATATGTCTGGGATATATCAAACAGTAAAACTTAATTTTGTGAAAAGCTGATCAAGGTGGAATACGGTAAACAGTATCAGGTGTGTAAATAACACATTTCCCTATATCCTGTACCCTTTATTGTTTGTTTTAAAAAGAGTGAGAAGGAAGTGTAACAGTCTTTCAAGCTAGAAGGTCTAAGAGCTGTAAAGCACCAATGACATACTCGTAGGTTAAAAAAATGATGTGTCCTCTGCTTCCTGCTCCTAGAATATTTTCCAGGCTAACCAGGATGAGAGACATTTGGCCAATGCGTTTAATACATTTCTGGGAAACAAAAGTTGACTAGTATGGAAGCATATGTGTAGCAAAATTAAATTTGCAATGCAATATGCAAAAATGGCAATACAATATGCAAAAATGGCAATACAATATGCAAAATGACAATGCCAATATTCAAAATGGCAACGCAATATTCAAAATGGCAATGTAATTCTGTATTTAAATTTACATTTTCCATCACCTTCACGCGTGCAAAATTTGGTGCAGAATGAAATTGAAAATTAAATTATATTATTTACATTTGCCATTTCCAACAGTAGTCTTAAGTTGTAAAGTGCATACTATTTTAATGCTTTATAAGTAGCAAAATGAAAATGAAAATGTATAACCCAAATTGATTTGATATGTGTAACGTGTCCAAGCAGAAA